AAGCGCGAGTCAAGCAAATTTTGCTGTCCAAGGGGTCAAGAGTACCATAAAACCCTACTCCTATTGTCTTTAGCCCACAGTTTAGGGGTCGCAAAGACTCTGAGATCGACCCGCTTCGATGAAGAAGAGGTGAATGTGCCTCATCCAGTGGACGGCATCATTGAACCCATCAATGTCAAGTTGTACATCCGTCAGGAATGGACAAAGGATAAGGTGGTGCTTGGCCAGGCTTGGCCTGCAGGAGACGGGACAATTAATGGCCGCCCAATTCCATAGGGGTGCGCTTTCGCGTCACCATTGATAGAATACTTGATAAGAAGTTTAACAAGATACCCATTGAGTACCCGTGGCGGAAGACGAGACAAACTTGGTCAAAACAAGGGCTCTCAAGTGGCCTGGTGCAAGCACTTCATTAAGCTTGACCATCAATTGTCCTCTGATGATGAGGATGATTGCGAGTCTTCGCCCACCCGCGATGATCACTCACCATCTCCCAACAGAGATCACTCCCCTCCTCATCCGGAGCCATCACCCCCGAGAAGATAGAGGTCTCCTTCTATTCCTCCTCATCCGACTCCATCTTCATCAGCCCCGAGAAAAGAGACTCCTCCTCCTCCCCCTCCTCCTCCATCTTCATCAGCGCCGAGAAAATAGAATTCTCATCGTCATCCTCCTCCTCCTCCTCCACCTCAGCCCAAAACAAGATCAAGGACATCCTCGTAGTCGCAGAAAAAGTCCTTGGATTCGGTCGCTAATGCTCCCAAAGTGGACCAACAGAAAAGAAAAAGGACGTTCAGTGGTAGCGTTACCACCTTGATGAAAGAAAAATTTACAGCACATATCTCGAAGGAAGATTGTGTTAGTTTCTTCAATCTCTGTGCCTCACTGCCTTCGTATTTGTTGAAGTCCAAATTTGAAAGGTAAACACAGAATAAATACGCTATAACAAGAGACGAAGAAATACACAATAAAGATTTAAGAAACATACAGAAGTACGTCGAAGACAACCCAGGATTAACCATGGAAGAGGCCGCGAATATCTATTATGATGTACAAGGGACGAGAACACCGGCAATGTAGTATGAAAGGGGCAATCTTTTGGTTCCCCATGACGAGTATAAAAATTTAACAACATATATGCGCCAATTGCATGAATATTACATGGCTCAAGCAACAGAGACGGACGACTTTGGTTTTGAGGTTATTATCCGTTCGCCACATGTTTTCCATTATCCTGAAGAAGAGAAGTTCAATGTCGAGTGGAAGTGCTTGTTCCAGCTATACTAGAAACGCTCTCTCGATGTTTCAATGTTGACGATGTGGACTATGTAAGTACCCTACACGCACGATATTACAGTTAACTACTCTCTTGAGACAAATTGTTAACTTTTGAGCCCTTTACATCATTTTATGTAGGTGTATAGCAAAATTTTATATTCTAAAAAACAAATGAGATTACATAGGCTTCTTGGACCCCTTGCGAGTCAATGAGAGGACATGTCTAGGCCTCTATGGATGTGACGTGGAAGACTTGAAACAGAGATTGATTGCTGTTTTCGACGAATTCACGATGAAGAACAAAACCCACGTACTTCTAGCCTACAACTGTGAATATGTGTTCTTGGCTTTTAATTTTATGCTTTTTTCGTTAAGATTATTCGATAATTAGGATTCTGTGATTGTAGCAACCATTTCGTCTTCATTTGTGTCAATCTTGCCAAAAATCTAATCGAGGTGTGGGACTCGAAGAAAAAAACATTTTATCATCTGGATGCACGGGTGGCAGTGCTGAATTTGTAAGCGATCCTAATAACATATTATTTTCTAATCACACATACCGCTTTCTAATGTTTCTCCCTTTAATGTTGCTCAGTGTTCGAAGAAGACATATCGGTGGGACGCCGGTTCCATTCAAGGTTGTCGAAACGGAGGGAAAGTACCTGTCACAGCCGGCAAGAAATCGGAAGAAACCAATAAGTTGGTGTGTATAATCCCCATTTCATTTATGTCTGTTAATAATTCAACAAAATGATTTACTGTTCCTCTTTGGATATCATCTTTTTTTGAACGACAGCGCAAGAAATATAACCACCAAAGGCTGTTAGACATGGAGATCATCGTACTGCAATCGGAGCTCGCAAAATTCATCTTAGCCGAGGTATTAGAAAAGATGGAGTATTTTTCATTGCACAAACCGTGAGGTACAAGGACCAGTATGGTCCAGAGCGGCTCGCCAGATTATTGTAAGAAGTCCGAGAAGCATTGCATAATCTGTGAAGTCTGAGAACATTTCTTTTTTATTTTGAGGGATTGTGATCTGGATAAGAGCATTTGAACTGTAACCGTAACATTTATAATGTTTAATATCGATGGACCTGACGTCTACGTAGCGTATATAAAGCGAAACCCGATTCCACAAAAAAATATAAATTAAAATCAATTATAAAACAATAAAATACAAATGGGCCATCACTGCCGGTTAGCAACGAACCGATAGTGTTGTCTTGCAAAACACTGCCGGTTATCAACAAACCGACAGTGTTGTCTTGCAAAACACTGCTGGCTTGAGCCATGAACCGACAGTGTTGTCTTGCTCAACACTGCCGGCTTGAGCCATCAACCGACAGTGTGTTGGCTAGCTCAACATTGCCGGCTTGAACCATGAACCGATAGTGTAGGCTTGCTCAACACTGTTGGCTTGAGCCAAGAACCGACACTCTTGAAGCAACCATCACTGTCGGTTGGGACTACAAACCGGCAGTGTTGTTCAACTAGACACTGTCGTGTGGAGTCAGAAACCGACATTGTTTCCTGTAGATCAGTGTCGGTTTTTAAGAACCGACAGTGATGTCAACCCCCCATCACTGCCGGTATGCCACTGTCGGTTCAAAATCCGGCAGTGAAGGGGGTTTTTGAATCGATAGTGATGTCTAGATCTGGGTAGTGGGACTTCATCAACCAGCATTGTTCGTAGTAAAGGGACATCGCTACAAACATAGTGGGAACGTGACGTACGAAGTAAAGGAACCAAACCGAGAATCTAGGATGCTCATAGCACATATTTGTCTCTTTCTCATCATGCATTTAGATTATATGCGATTCTATGTTTATGTAAATGTTGTATGATAATTGATGAAAATATAGATCTGCAATAGAACAAGTTCTCATTATACATGTATACCGAGCTAAAAAACTTTTTGGCTCACATACCCCTTTGTACCATGGTTTAAGTGACATCCCATGTTCCACGTCTATGTTCCTTGGGCCCAACATTTCAGGAACCTAGTCCCTGAATTTAGCGCCTAGACATTTTGAACCCATGGTTCGAGCTCTGGTTCCACAAGCCGTGAGCGAGCTCTGGTTAAGTGGCACATGTATGAGGAAAGGGGGGAAGAGAAAGCACCAAATATGCTCGGTAATGTGGTGGAGAGATGATCATCCGGGGGCAGCAATCTCATGCTTGGCTTCTGGCGAGGATAAAGCATTATGTTCTTCAGATGCAAGCACTACCGGAATCTGGAATTGCCTTGAGGGCTGAGAATTTCCTTGAGTGCCAAAATGAAACCGCCAAGGAAAGGGTAGTTTTCTTGGCGGTTTACATAGATCTCCAAGGAAATATGTATTCCTTGAGAGTTGACATAAACTTTGGAAACTATTAATGACTTGTCTGTTATGATGTATGGACTTCATGTAAGGATGAATGATAAATGCACTTGTAATATTCTTATGGGTATGTTAATGCCAATATAATGGTTGGGCTCCATAACAAAATGTCTATATGCATGTCATCATGTGTCAATTGAGTATAGTGACTGAAATATTAGCATATATTGATTACAACATTTATTTTTTTATTGCTAGTATAGATTTCCTTGGGGGCTGACCCTCAAGGAAATCGGAATTACCTTGGCGGTTAACGACGATCAAGGAAAACTATAATTTCCTTGTAGGTGAAGGGCAACAAAGGAAACAACAATTATCTTGGAGGTCTAGAGTGTTTCTTTGGAGGTTGTCGACCCTCAAGAAAACTAATTTACTTGGTGGTTGTAACATTTTCTTTTCATTTTGGCGAATTAAGCAGAGTGCTAGTTTTCTTGGCAGCCAGCCTCCAAGGAAATCATCCTTGAGTGCCAAAATCGCCAAGGAAACTAATTTCCATTGTCTTCTATCCTTGAGTGAGTTTGCTTGACGGTTTGTGGCCAAAGATCATTTCCTTGGCGGTTGAGGCCCTTTTCTTGGTGGCTTTTGGCACTCAAGGTAATTCGGGATTGTGGTAGTGAAGAAGCAAACATTTAAACCCCATCCTGCTAACTGTTTTTTATATGTTCACATCATCCATCAATTGTAGCATCTGGTCGGTGACGTTGGGAAAATCATGTCGGTTATGATATGTAGGGAAAAAACAATTTGCAAGATACTTGTAGATTCAGTTAAGATTGAACAATCGCAGTGTTCAAGTAAGCTAAGGAATGAACAATTGAACTGGGGATCGTGTTTTCTAGCAAGTATCCCTATTTCTGTATATATATATGATTTAAGATCTAACATTAAGTAAATAAATGAGACTTAAATCAGTTAAGGAAAAACTATTTTTTTTTTCAGGACGGTGACGGCAGGCGCGCGGCAGTGCGTCAAAGTAAACGAAGTCACACAAACAACGTCCGCATCAGTCAAACAGACGTACAATTCGCAGATGGTTCAGTTGATGATGAGTTGTCAGCAAGCCGACGACGACGCAAGCTAGAACGGAAGCGAAGAAGTAAACTAAAACAACGACAGGTTTGGTTCGATGCTGCAGGCAGCCGGAAATCTCTGTGCTGTCAGTCGTAGCTTACACGACGGAGCTAGCTGTTGATGGTACAGGTCACCGCCGGTGTAACAGCACAGACTCCGGTAAACGGTCAAGGGTCAACCCAAGTGAATCACCGTACCAACACATATATCCGGCCCATAGTTGATTCACACACAGGCACACAGCGATCGATCGATCGATGTCCTCCATGGCAGCCTTTAACGAAAGCGAGCAGCAGGCTGCTGCTGGTGCCGGTGAGCCAACACCACCCGGCCCCGCAACTGCCCGCCCGCCGGCGGCCACGCTTGATGCGCAGCTGTTGATGGCTGCTCGCCGCGGCGACAGCAAACAGCTCAAGGATCTGCTGCCGCTGATCAAGGACGACGACGAGCAGCAAAGCTCGTCCGTGGCGGCGGGAGCACAAGACGTGGTAGTGGAAGTCGATCCTCGACCTCCTCCTCATGATGCTGTTGCACCACTACCCTCCTCTGGATCGTCGTCACCGCCGCCAGTCCCGGTAGTCCTTGATGAGGATGGTGTGACCATGGAAGGGGACTCCCTGCTGCACGTGGTTGCGGCATGCGGCGACACGCAGGAGTACCTCGACTGCGCCAAGATACTGGTCCGCAACAAGAAGCGCAAGGGCGGTGCAGATGCAGCGCGCCTAGCCCTGGAAGCGCGCAACCGCAAGGGCGACACGCCCCTGCACTGCGCCGCCGGTGCTGGGATTGCCAGCATGATCTCTTGCCTCGTTGATCTCATCGCCAACGACACCACCGACGACGAGGCGGGGGCACCGGTGAAGAAGGCGTTCCTGAGGATGCAGAACGAGTGTGGAGAGACCGCGTTGCACCAGGCCATCCGCGCCGCTGCCGACAACAAGCTTAAGGTGGCCTGCATCGACCAGCTGATGGACGTGGATTCGGAGCTGGCCTGCATCCCATTCCCACATCAGGAGGAAGATGCTGGTGCTTCCCCGTTGTACTTGGCTATCTCACTGGGTGAAGTCGAGATTGCGCGGCACCTGTATAGCAAGACTAAAGGCGGCAAGCTGTCCTATTCCGGACCACATGGCCGTAACGTCTTGCATGCAGCGGTTCATCGTGGCCAAGGTAAAGCTAATTAAACTAAGCTAGCAGGTTAGTTGCTACTCGTAAATACATGCGGTTTAATCTTCCTCTCTCTTGGCTGCAGCGCTGCCTATGATTTTGGAATGGCTCATCAAGGACATGAAGCCTAAAGAAGACAGTAGTACTGTGTCTCTTGTGTCGCGACTGACTAGCGAAAGGGACAAGAAGCAGAAGGGAAGCACCCCTCTTCACTTGGCCGCGTCCTTGTCCGGGTGGCCAGGCGCGGGGTTTCTTTGCACACGGTTTCCCCAAGTTTGGCCGACGGCGGAATCAGTGGCTACACTGCTACTGGATGCTAACATATCCATGGCATATCAGGCGGACGACGAAGGATCCTACCCCATACACGTCGCTGCATGGTCTAACAGCATCGTTATCGTGATCCTGCTGGGGAGGTGTCCGGACTGCGCCACCCTGCGAGATGGCAAAGGACGGACGTTCCTCCATGTCGCCGCCGAGGAGGGATGCCACGATGTGGTTCGATATGTCTGTGGAAAAATGCCACAGCGATTTTCATCGATGATTCTGAATGCGCAGGACAACAACGGGGACACTGCGCTGCACGGCGCTGTCCGTTATGGGAACCTTGCCGTCTTCAACTGTTTACTTCGGAATCCACGGGTACGCTTGGACGTGACAAATAAAGACGGGATGACACCACTGGATCTTTCATGGAGTATGACCCCTTCAGCAATTCTTTATTACGTGCTTGTAAGTAAATATCCGATCCTTTTCTCGGTTCGAAGCAGCTAGCTCGTTTATTTCCTCAAATTCTCTTCTCTCTCTCTCTCTCTAGTTATTTATTTATAGTTATTTTTAGTCATTTTTGTTCGATTTAATTAGGCTTAGGACACCTACCTTAAATCAAACAAGTTATAAAGACCGTTATAAATGCTAGTATAATAAAAAAAATTATTAATCATAGGAAAATTAAAACTCGCCTTAAATGGGTGACTATTGTATTGTATACAACCGTTGTCAGTTTAAAAAGGGCGAAAGGCAACAAGCCACGCAACTACGCATGCATTGCTCACGAGCTCATGTGACCAGACTATATGAGTGATGCGGTGCTAGTTAAGGTTTTGCAGCTCTAAATCCCGATAGTGAGTCTCTGTTTTTTTTTATCCTTAAAAGCGAGAAGGGGGAGAATAAGGGATAGATAGACAACCGAGAGAGTGACTGACGGAATGAAAAAGAAATTTATCGTATTTAATATTACGCAAATAGGTCCACGGGTGGCAACGGGACATACAGTTTGTTGCACGGTGTTCGTATCAATGAGAGCTAGCTATTTTTGTTGGATTTAATTGGAACTTGGCACAATCTTAAATCAAATAAATTCCAAAGCACATAGTAAAAGCTGATGTAATTAATAAAGGATCACTCACAATCGTCCAACAGGGATCCGACGGACCTAGTATCTCTTATGTCATTATGAGTTAGAGCAGTGTGTCCAAACACGATATTGAGTCCAATTCCAAAACAAATTGAAGTGTGGAGCATTTACTATATCCATACAAGTTATAGCCGCATGTGTCCGCCACTCTCTCACATGCCCTTATGAGTTAGAGCAGAATTTTCAGGCATGGTGTGGATTCTGATCATAAAACACATTAGAACGCATTACACTATTATTTATAAATCTCTAACCCTCTCATACCCGTACCAGTTAGAACAGTCATAGTACGGAATTTGATTCCAAGATAGATTAAAAGACGCTATCCTTGAATAAATCTTTTAGCCACAAATCATTCTTGTGATCACGCAACAAGCTGCACGTACTGTTGCAACACTGAACATGTTTGCTAGTTAATTTAGTGACAGTAAGGTATATTCATTCAATAATACTCACGTACTCTTGCAGAATCCAAGAAGTGTTGTACGGCTTTCATTGCTCTTTGCAGGAGCTCCTCATGGTGGAGGGCTATGTCGGCCGGAGCTCTTCTGTGAACAACACATCACCAAAGTAGACGAGGACAAAGAGTCACAGAAACATACAGATGCAACGCAAGTGATGAGCATTGTCGCCGTAATTATTGCGACCGTCACATTTGCATCAGCTTTCACGTTGCCTGGTTGTTATCGATCCGTCGGGGACTCATCTAGCAATAATCACGCTGGGACGCCGGTGCTTGCTGGGAGCTATGTTTTCGACGCCTTTATCCTTGCCGACACCTTGGCATTCATCTGCTCCACCTTGGCTACCTTTAGCCTTGTCTATGCCGGGGTGCCGGCCATGGCCATCTCCATCCGCTGCTACTACTTCAACAAGTCGGCCGTGTTGCTGCAGAGTGCAGGAAGGAGTTTCGTGGCCGCTTTCGCCTTGGCCTTGTACCCGGTGCTGGCTCCAGTTGATCATACAATTGCAGTGACTGTCTGCGTCATCATTTTGCATCTTTGCTCTGGGGAAACGTGGAAGCTTGGCGGGTCACCTGTGGGGCAAACACGGTCCGTGCTCGAATTGGGATACGGCGATTTCCAGTATGGGCTTACGTACAACAAATATTTGATAGTGTCTTGGTACACTTTTGGTCGTACATAATAATCCTTGGTCTCCCAGCAATTCGGAAGTGGGTAAGTAAATAATAGGGCATGTGTCAAGATGAGAGCTAGCTAGCTAGCATTATTATTATCATGTCAAAACAATTGTCCACCTATGTAACTAATGCTCCATTATTACATTTGGGTTTTATTCTGCTAGCTGCTCAACATCATGTTGTAACCGGTATTATTGCTACTCAACAACTCTTTTTATTTCATTGTTAATATCATCTTTTTATTGGAAAAAAAAATTCGATGCTTCGAAAAGTTCTCTGCGGCTTTAATTTGGGCCTGTTGGGATACAAAGTATTTTTGGAGTTTTAGAAACATATGCCATGGTTTTGTGAAATACTTCGGGTTTTTAGTACCACGAAGTGTTTGCATGGAATTATGGTTTTGATACTACAACATTCAAATAGGACCTTGATTTCCGGCACATCAACTACATTAGTTTTAGATACACAAAGCGCATTGATTTCCTTATCCTCTCCATTTCCAAACCGGGGCATAATAACAGGATTTAATTTGAGACTTGACACGAGATGACGAGACATGTGTTTAAATTTGAGTAAAAATCATGAGCAGTACCTATACTTGTAGGGCCTTATTAGGCCTTTCGCAGTGTTGGCTTAGAGTGAAGCTTGAAGAGGTGAGAGAGTATATGAGCATCACTTCTAACACTGCAGGTCAGTGATGCTGGTGTCAAATTATTGGGAGCGGCGCAACTGTAAGAACCAATGCCAAAAAGGAATAGGCCCAAATAAAGCAAGGTGAGCAGCGGAAGCGTGTGATAGGGTATTTGAATTAGTTTTTATTGGTTGATGGGACCCATGAAACAGTAAATAAGTGAATTAGTTTTTATTGGCTGATGGGACCCACGAAACAGTAAACAAGTGAGGTTCTACACTGCAGCCTAGTAACACCGATGACAATTCCTCGTTCGTGGGGCCCATATTTTTTTCTAGCCTCACACTGCATGGTTTGATCCATAATTATCTTATGTAAACAAAGTGTTGGCCTTTGTTTACCATCTACACGTTTGAAGTGTATATATATGGTTTGATCCAGCCATGCTTTAATTTGTACATATAATGAGTTTTAGCCTTTTCTTGCTTGTTGCCCCGCCCCCCCTCCCTCCCCTGTTTTTCAACTTTGTTTTAAAGTGTAATAGCATGTGTGATGGGTACATTATAGGTGTACCCGGTCCTTTTAAAAATTTTCCCTTGCATGCCATCTTTGCTTGTTGCCTGAGGAAAAGAATATTATACTTTACCTGATTTAAAAAAAAATATGGTTGGGGTTTGGAGTGTTGAAAGCAGCTAATAAAAATAGGGGTTAAACTAGTCGGTAGGAGCTAGCTAGGAGGACACGATCACACTGGCGAGATGGATCAGAGAGCTGGCTGGAACTGTCGCGCTCACTCGCATCGCAGATCGCAGACCCAAATCCGGACAGGGTCTATTCTCTCCGCACGTGCACCTTTAAACTTGCTTTAATTTCTCTCTCTGTTGCCGTGCATGTGCTGGCCGCCCAGGAACATATACTGTGCCATCATGCATCCAGTATCCATGCATGGACGACGATCGACTTTGATTCACTCTCTGTATCTATCTATATATATAGGGTGAGTTTTCTGTACTTTCAAAGTAGTTACTCCCACCGAGAGTATATGCATCAAGCAGGAGTCGAGGCTGGTTAACGCGCGGAGAAACGCGGACCCGTTTGGACCGGTGGCGGTGGCTATACGGCAGCCGTATTAATCTGGAGTTCTGGACGTATATACGCGAATTAAAAAAGGCCTGTGTCCATATCACTACCGGACTCCTTGAGTTTGCCGAGTACCCGAAACACTCGGCAAAAGACATAAAACACTCGGCAAGTGGTTCGCCGAGTGTAACACTCGGCGAACAGCACTCGCCAAGAAAAGTGACGGCAAAGCCAACTTTGCCGAGTGTTTTTTATCAGGCACTCGGCAAAGCCTTTGCTGAGTGCCCGACACTAGGCAAAGTTGAAACCGAAAAAAACCCGAAAAAATGGAAATTTTTTTTATCGATGGAGGCCCCCACCGCCAGCGCCCACCCATCTCGATATTTTTTCCCGTGATTTTCATGGCTACGTGGCCGACGCGATTCGAACCCGAGACCTCCCACATTGCGCATCGCATCTCTCTACCACTACACCACATCTTTATTACTTGTCTGCGGATTCCGTTTTAGTTCCCAATATATTATACTAAATCGAGTGTAAATTGCATGTTTTAGGCCCTAAACGAATTCAAATAAAAAAGTTGTAAACTACAAAGTTTCATAGCTTTTCGAGATCTACACTTTTAGTTTAGAAAGTTTTTCCATCCGAGGTCATTTACAAAATTTGAATTTTAAAATTTTAAAATTCAAACATAGTTTTGCATGACAAGATGTTTTCAAATCAAAAAGTTGTAAACTACAAAGTTTCATAACTTTTCGAGATCTACACTTTTAGTTTAGGAAGTTTTTCCATCCGAGGTCATTTACAAAATTTGAATTTTAAAATTTTTAAAATTCATACACACGCTTTGCATGACAAGATGTTTTCAAATCAAAAAGTTGTCAACTACAATGTTTCATAACTTTTCGAGATCTACAGAGTTTATTTTGGTTGTTTTTTCATCCGAGGTCGTTTGAAAAGTTCAAATTTTAAAATTTTGAAATTCAAACGCGGTTTTGCATGACAAGATGTTTTCAAATCAAAAAGTTACCAATTACAAAGTTTCATAACTTTTCGAGATCTACAAAGTTTATTTTGGTTGTTTGGTCATCTGTTCATCCGACATAGTCGTTCTAACATTGTTCACAAATCTTATATATCTCTCTTGTAGTTTCATAAACTATAAGAGAGATATGTTAGATTTGTGAACAAATTTATTTTCACTTTGTCGTATGAAGAAAAGACCAAAACAAACATTGTACATCTTGATGAGTTATACAACTTTGTAGTTGAAAATTTTTTCATTTGAATTAATTTACTGCTTCAAAATGTGCTTTGAAATTTTCTTTGCCGAGTGTCAAAAAAAAAAAAACTCTCGGCAAAGAAGCTCTTTGCCGTGTGTCAAAAAAAAAACACCCAGCAAAGAAGCTCTTTGCCGAGTGTCAAAAAAACACTCGGCAAAGAGGCTCTTTGCCGAGTGTTACTCGGCAAAGAGCCTCTTTACCGAATGTCAAAAAAAACACTCGGCAAATGCGTTTTTGCCGAGTGCCCGAAAAAGAACACTCGGCAAAGCACCTGACACTCGGCAACTTAGACAGTTTCCGGTAGTGTATAATTACCGGAAAAACGGATCTGGGCTATGGTGGGATGCTTATAAAAAAGTATGAATATGTATTCCTTTCATTAAAAAAAGTATGTATATATACTCCTTATAAAAAAGTATGAATATATACTCCTTTCATGAAAAAAGTATGCATATATACTCTATTTAAAAAAAGTATGAATATGTACGAATACATACTTGAAAATAAAGTATGAATACATACTTTATTATGCGTAAGCCCGCACATACCTACTTTAGTATATGCATACATACTCTAAAATGTTACGTATCTCAGCATACTCACCGGCGGCATCTGGAACCTGCAGAGCCACGTGCCATATGTATATTTGAATTTTTTTAATAGCAAGGCCACACCGGCCGGCATGCAACAGCAACATTACTACTACTACTACCCACGGCAACAGTTATTGGCACTGGTAGTAGGTAGAGTATGGCCTTGGTAGCAGCTAATGACGAAACCGACCAAGCTGATGTGGCTGCAAGTGATAGTACGAGCTGGCCACCAGCGGCGGCCAACAAACTACTGCTGGTGGCTGGTCGCCGCGGTGACAGCAAGCGGCTCAAGGAGCTGCTGCTGCTGGTGGTGAACGACGGCGACGGCGACGCTGAGGAAAATGCACCGGAGGCGGCGGCGACATCAGAGGTGGTCATCGTGGAGGTCGTCCCTAGCTAGGCGTCCTCCACCAGCTGCTGCGGCACCACCACCGTCAGCGTCCGGCGACAGCGACGACTTGATCCTCTGCTGCGCCAGGATGATCGTCGCCGCGATGCGCCAGCTGCTCCTGGAAGCGGGCAACCACGAGGGCCACATGCCCTTGCACTGCGCCGCCGCTGCCGGGAACGCCAACATGATCTCCTGCCTCGTCGATCTCATCGCCAACACCGACGATGAGGCAACGGCGGCGGCGTCTGTGAAGCCGGCGTTGGTGGTGAGAATGATGAATAAGCGTGTGGGGAGACCGCCTTGCACCAGGCGGTCCGCGCTCCCAAGAACAAGGTGGCATGCGTCGACCTGCTCATGGACATGGATCCAGACCTGGCCTGCTTTCCATATGAGGAGGATGGTGGTGCTTCCCCATTGTACCTCGCCATCTCACTGGGTGGAGTGGAGATTGCACGTCACCTCTACGGCAAGAGCAAAGGCAAGCTATCCTACTCCGGACCATACGGACGAAACGTCTTGCACGCAACTGTTTCTCTGCAGCATCAAGGTAAAAAAACTGTACTGTACTTAAGCTAAGGCTGTTATATATATATATATATATATATATATATATATATATATATAGGCAGCGAATGCTATGAAAACCAAGGAGCTGTGCAAACTATGCAAACTCTAATCTAGATCACTGGACGCGAATGCTATGAAAACCAAGGAGCTGTGCAAACTATGCAAACTCTAATCTAGATCACTGGACTCTAATCCGATGGTTAGAGGTAAAGGTGGGTTATTTTAGCACTTAAACCCCCCACTCATCCCATCTAATCCAAGATTTTGCAAATCACCCCAGCCCCAGCGCCTGTACGGTTCCCTTCCGTCTCCTTGCGATTCCCGTACGGCGCGATACAGAAGTCCCAGCGCCTGTAAGATAACAATTCAGACTTGACATGACTACATTTTTCCTCCCCATCCTGACAACCTGACATGCATATACGCAAGCCAAACACAAGTCACCTGGTGCCGCAACCAAACAACAGGAGCATGCACGTCCACGGCGATCAACAATTGCACACACGAGCTTGCAAAATGAACTAGCAATAGCACATGGACAATAATTAACTGCAAATAATTCTTAGAATTGCACATTTACTTCGACAATGGTACTGATCAATCAAACATAGGGAAGTGGATTGGGTACAGGACCAAATACAAGACTATCCTCGGGTTACTTGTTAGGGACTTTATCTCGATTAGATGCGAAAGTGGATTGGGAAAGATGATGACCTATGGAGGGTTCTCGAAAGTGAGAAGGATTACATATGGGATGTCAAGATCTTAGAGTAGTTCACTTTCCCAACCGAGTATGACAGGGAGTTAGTCAAGAAAAAAGCAAAAGAAATCATAGGGACATGCTTCAAGAATTTCAAGGGGACATTGTACAAGAATTTTGTCCTCCAAAATAAAGATCTAGATTTTGATGGTGGACAGGTTTAAAGCGAGAAAAGACTTCTAGCAGGATTTCAAGGAATCAAAGTTATCTGAGGAGTACTTTGCCTTTGAGCAAGAAGAATAAGGAGAACTTCATGAAAGTGATGGATCCTCATCATCTCGGCTCTCATGGCTACGCCAAAAAGATGCTAGAATTTGAAGCAGAACTTCAAAAGATGGATTGTCTTGCTGAGGAAGGCGTTCAGGTTAAGACAGCCGATTGGGAGCCCAGATTGGTATTATACTGTATGGGGAGGAATGTACGGCACGCCGTGGACGGGAGCTTTAGCTCCACAAATGAACCCATGAGCGAACTCATCCAGAGGATCTCTTAGGTAACTGAGGAGGAGAGGCAAGGGACTCGCACTTCTAATAGGGAGAAAGACGTGCTCACCCAAGCACTCGAAACCAAGGAGCACCCTGGTTGCACTAGAGGAACCGGTGTTGTTCCTTGGAAACTAGCATTCCCCTAAGAATCTAACACTTACCGGAGCCGCTCGAGGGGTAGAGTGGAACAGGAGGCAGAGTATTTGAGGTGACTAAAAGAGATGGAAGATAGAATGGAAGCACGGATTGAGGCAACTGTTGAAGCGCGAGGCGAGCAAATTTTGCTGTCCAAGGGGTCAAGAGTACCACAAAACCCTACTCCTATTGTCTTTAGCCCACAGTTTAGGGGTCGCAGCAGCTACAGATCGACCCCGCTCGATGAAGAAGAGGTGAATGTGCCTCATCCAGTGGACGGCATCACTGAACCCATCAATGTCAAGTTGTACATCCGTCAGGAATGGACAAAGGATAAGGTGGTGCTTGGCTAGGCCTGGCCCGCAGGAGACGGGATAATTAATGGCCGCCCAATTCCACAGGGGTACGCTCGCGTCACCATTGATAGAATACTTGATAAGAAGTTTAACAAGATACCCATTGAGTACCCCGTAGCGGAAGACAGACCGAAACTTGGTCAAAACAAGGGCTCTCAAGTGGCCTGGCGCAAGCACTTCATTAAGCTTGACCATCAATTGTCCTCTGATGATGAGGACGACTGCGAGTCTTCGCCCATCCGCAATGATCACTCACCATCTCCCAACAGAGATCACTCCCCTCCTCTTCCGGAGCCATCACCCCCAAGAAGATAGAGGTCCCCCAACTTGTACGAGAAGGCTTCGATAAGATGTTGACTGTGTTTGGCACCATGCTACCGAAGAACCACATTCTGCCCCCCAACTTGTACGAGTCAGAAAAACTCCTTCGTGCGCTCAAGATGCCATATGATAAGATACATTGTTGTCCAATCGGGTGTCCTATTTTGGAAAGAACACGAGCATGCAAAGTACTGTCCGAAGTGTGGATCCTCCAGATACCTAGAGGTAGTATCTGGTGATGGCCAAAAGGTGCAGCTTACGATCCCCGCGAGAGTCTTACGTCACCTTCCTTTCATAGCGAGGATCCAACGACTTTTCATGACCGAGGAAATCGAAAACAGATGACATGGCACAAGAATGGCAAGCGGTACAATCCGGACAAGATGGTTCATCCATCCGATCTTTGAAGCATGGCGATTTTTAATGATCGACATCCCGAGAAAGCAAATGAGGCTCGGAATGTACGTGTCGCCTTCCATAGCAGATGGATTCAATCCTTATGGATTGATGTCTTCCCCATACACATGTTGGCCTCGTGTTCACTATCCTCTCAACCTCCCCCGGCATCGCCTTCCAACGACGAGCGTATTTTTGTCGTTGATAATTCCCTGGACACCCGTGAAGTAATATGGGAGTGTTCATGGAGCACAGTGATTGACGAATTGATAAAAGCTTGGGGAGGGTATGGACATACGACCGAGCTACAAGGTCAAGCTTCAAAATGTACGTTTGGTATCACTACTCTCTGCATGATTTCTGGCGTATGGGTTATTCTGCTGGTGTGTTCACGGAAGTTCCGTGCCCCAAATCTGCAAGAAAGCCGTGAGGTTTATTTGGTTGAAAAGGGTGGCAAGTATTCGCTGCTTAAACAAGCATCGTCAATTCCTCCCTTCCGAACATCCATTCAGACAAGACATCAAGAACTTTACAAAAGGTGTTGCAGTGACATACCCTAAACCCCACATCAGGAGTGGTGCCGAGGTTCATGCTCAGATAGATGCTCTCGTGCCCAACGAAGGAGGTGGTTTTGTGGGTTATGGTGAGGAACATATGTGGACTCATAAGTCCGGCTTGACCGAGCTACCCTATTTCGATGACCTTCTTCTGCGCCACATAACATTGATGTAATGCACACCGAAAAAGAATATCGCCGAGGCACTTTGGGCAACTCTCATGAATACAGAGAAATCTAAGGACAATGTTAAGGCTAGAGTGGACTGGCGACGTTGTGCGATAGGAAAAACAAGAGATGCAACCTCCTAGTGGTCGAAACAAGAAGTGGAAAAAAGCCTAAGGTGGATTTCATCTTGAAAATAGATGCCGGAGGAAGTACTTCAATGGATCAAGAACTTGATGTTCCCGAGATGGCTATGCCGCTTAATCTGAGCGGGGAGTGAACTTAGGCACTTTATGAAAGTCAACGGGATGAAGAGTCATGACTACCATATATGGATTGAGCGGCTTCTCCCTGCAATGGTCCGAGGCTACGTCCCCGAGCATGTCCGGAAAGTGTTGGCGAGTTGAGCTATTTCTTTACGCTTTCTTTGTGTGCTAAGGAGATATCTCGGAACATCGCTATGGAATTGGAAAAGGTGGCACTGTGTTGGTCTCATGGTCGGAGAAGATCTTCCCACCCGGCTTTTTTCTTGCCGATCGACATCGATCGTGCACCTTCCCACCGAAGCACGTTTGGGGGCTGTGCGATTTTCGTTGGTGCTTTCCGATCGAGAGAGGACTAAAGACTATTCGCAAGAAATGTACAAATAAAGCCAGAATTGAGGCTTCCGTTGCAGAGGCATACTGCGGGAGGAGGTGGCAAACTTCACAACGCTGTACTACAAGCCGAACCTTCCTAGCAATCAAAATCCACTCCCTCGTTACAATGCTGATGAAAATGAATCGACCCTCGGCCTTTTCCAAGGACAACTCGGTAGCACAAGTGGATCGACCGTTATGATCTTGACAAATAAAGAGTGGCGCAGTATCATGTTATACGTGTTGAATAACCTTACTGAGGTGCAACCTTTCATCAAGTAAGTTCTCAATGATCTTGTTTCAATACGCCGTTACTATTCAACGTGCAACAAGATTATGAAAGTGTTGTATATATACATATATATATATATCTATAATATATATAGGTTCATACTTTATTCGAATATAATAATGCTCGAGATGAGAATTAGATGTAATTATATGCGTGCGTGTATTTATATTAGCAGCGTAGAATACGTATATAAAAACATATTATATATTAAACAAATACGTGTAACTGAACTGAAAACAAATTAAACAAAAAAGAGAAAAAGAAAAGGAACCTTTAGTCCCGGTTGGGGTTACCAACTGGGACTAAAGGGTGCGGCCACGTTTGCTCGGCTGGAGGGCCTTTAGTCCCTGTTGGTAACACCAACCGGGACTAAAGGTCCCTCTTTAGCCCCGGCTCGATGACCCGGGACTAAAGGTGGCACCTTTAGTCCCGGGATTGTCGTCCCGGTGCGGTAACCGGGACTAAAGGCCGTTACCGCCCGGGATAACAAGTCCATTCTGTAGTAGTGCGCCAAGGAAAGGGTAGTTTTCTTGGCGGTTTACATAGATCTCCAAGGAAATATGTATTCCTTGAGAGTTGACATAAACTTTGGAAACTATTAATGACTTGTGTGTTATGATGTATGGACTTCATGTAAGGATGAATGATAAATGCACTTGTAATATTCTTATGGGTATGTTAATGCCAATATAATGGTTGGGCTCCATAACAAAATGCCTATATGCATGTCATCATGTGTCAATTGAGTATAGTGACTGAAATATTAGCATATATTGATTACAACATTTATTTTTTTATTGCCAGTATAGATTTCCTTGGGGGCTGACCCTCAAGGAAATCAGAATTACCTTGGCGGTTAACGACGATCAAGGAAAACTATAATTTCCTTGTAGGTGAAGGGCAACCAAGGAAACAACAATTATCTTGGAGGTCTAGAGTGTTTCCTTGGAGGTTGTCAACCCTCGAGAAAACTAATTTACTTGGTGGTTGTAACATTTCCTTGTCATTTTGGCGAATTAAGTAGGGTGCTAGTTTTCTTGGCGGCCATGCCTCGAAGGAAATCATCCTTGAGTGCCAAAATCGCCAAGGAAACTAATTTCCATTGTCTTCTATCCTTGAGTGAGTTTGCTTGACAGGTTTGTGGCCATGGATCATTTCCTTGGCGGTTGAGGCCCTTTTCTTGGTGGTTTTGGCACTCAAGGTAATTCGGGATTGTGGTAGTGAAGCAGCAAAACATTTAAACCCCATCCTGCTAACTGTTTTTATATGTTCACATCATCCATCAATTGTAGCATCTGGTCGGTGACGTTGGGGGAAAATCATGTCGGTTATGATATGTAGGAAAAATAAATTTGCAAGATACTTGCAGATTCAGTTAAGATTAAACAATCGCAGTGTTCAAGTAAGCTAAGGAATGAACAATTGAACTGGGGATATGATCGTGTTTTCTAGCAAGTATCCCTATTTCTGTATATATATGATTTAAGATCTAACATTAAGTAAATAAATGAGACTTAAATCAGTTGAGGAAAAACTATTTTTTTTCAGGACGGTGACGGCAGGCGCGCGGCAGTGCGTCAAAGTAAACGAAGTCACACAAACAACGTCCGCATCAGCCAAACAGACGTACAATTCGCAGATGGTTCAGTTGATGATGAGTTGTCAGCAAGCCGACGACGACGCAAGCTAGAACGGAAGCGAAGAAGTAAACTAAAACAACGACAGGTTTGGTTCGATGCTGCAGGCAGCCGGAAATCTCTGTGCTGTCAGTCGTAGCTTACACGACGGAGCTAGCTGTTGATGGTACAGGTCACCGCCGGTGTAACAGCACAGACTCCGGTAAACGGTCAAGGGTCAACCCAAGTGAATCACCGTACCAACACATGTATCCGGCCGATAGTTGATTCACACACAGGCACACAGCGATCGATCGATCGATGTCCGCCATGGCAGCCGCTAACGAAAGCGAGCAGCAGGCTGCTGCTGGTGCCGGTGAGCCAACACCACCCGGCCCCGCAACTGCCCGCCCGCCGGCGGCCACGCTTGATGCGCAGCTGTTGATGGCTGCTCGCCGCGGCGACAGCAAACAGCTCAAGGATCTGCTGCCGCTGATCAAGGACCAACATTTATTTTTTTATTGCTAGTATAGATTTCCTTGGGGGCTGACCCTAAAGGAAATCAGAATTACCTTGGCGGTTAACGACGGTCAAGGAAAACTATAATTTCCTTGTAGGTGAAGGGTAACCAAGGAAACAACAATTATCTTGGCGGTCTAGAGTGTTTCCTTGGAGGTTGTCGACCCTCAAGAAAACTAATTTACTTGGCGGTTGTAACATTTCCTTGTTATTTTGGCGAATTAAGTAGGGTGCTAGTTTTCATGGCAGCCAGCCTCCAAGGAAATCATCCTTGAGTGCCAAAATCGTCAATGAAACTAATTTCCATTGTCTTCTATCCTTGAGTGAGTTTGCTTGACGGTTTGTGGCCAAGGATCATTTCCTTGGCGGTTGAGGCCCTTTTCTTGGTGGTTTTTGGCACTCAAGGTAATTCGGGATTGTGGTAGTGAAGCAGCAAACATTTAAACCCCATCCTGCTAACTGTTTTTTTATACGTTCACATCATCCATCAATTGTAGCATCTGGTCGGTGACGTTGGGAAAATCATGTCGGTTATGATATGTATGAAAAAAACAATTTGCAAGATACTTGTAGATTCAGTTAAGATTAAACAATCGCAGTGTTCAAGTAAGCTAAGGAATGAACAATTGAACTGGGGATCGTGTTTCCTAGCATGTATCCCTATTTCTGTATATATATATGATTTAAGATCTAACATTAAGTAAATAAATGAGACTTAAATCAGTTGAGGAAAAACTATTTCTTTTTAAGGACGGTGACGGCAGGCGCGCGGCAGTGCGTGTCAAAGTAAACGAAGTCACGCACAAACAACGTCCGCATCAGTCAAACAGACGTACAATTCGCAGATGGTTCAGTTGATGATGAGTTACGTTGTCAGCAAGCCGACGACGACGCAAGCTAGAACGGAAGCGAAGAAGTAAACTAAAACAACGACAGGTTTGGTTCGATGCTGCAGGCAGCCGGAAATCTCTGTGCTGTCAGTCGTAGCTTACACGACGGAGCTAGCTGTTGATGGTACAGGTCACCGCCGGTGTAACAGCACAGACTCGGGTAAACGGTCAAGGGTCAACCCAAGTGAATCACCGTACCAACACATATATCCGGCCGATAGTTGATTCACACACAGGCACACAGCGATCGATCGATCGATGTCCGCCATGGCAGCCGCTAACGAAAGCGAGCAGCAGGCTGCTGCTGGTGCCGGTGAGCCAACACCACCCGGCCCCGCAACTGCCCGCCCGCCGGCGGCCACGCTTGATGCGCAGCTGTTGATGGCTGCTCGCCGCGGCGACAGCAAACAGCTCAAGGATCTGCTGCCGCTGATCAAGGACGACGACGAGCAGCAAAGCTCGTCCGTGGCGGCGGGAGCACAAGACGTGGTAGTGGAAGTCGATCCTCGACCAAGGTTTTGGGATTCTTTTTTGAAAAAAATTCGATGCTCACCGAATTGGACGAAATTCGGAAATTTCGGAAATTTCGGACCGGTATCCAGCTACGTTGACCAGTCAAACAAACCAAATTTGAATGAAATTTGAGCAAATTTAAACAAGATTTGGCCCAAACGGCGCCAGACATGGCACGAGTTAAGGAGAAGGTGCCGACATTGAAAGCAAGCAACATGGAGCGGCGACGGCGCAAGGATGGCGTTGGGGACCGGCGACGGCGCGGCGAGCAGCGGTGACGATGCGGCCGCTAGCGTCGAGGAGCGACGACGGCGTGGCCGCGGGCTTCGGGGAGAGAACACGGCGCACGGTGGAGCTGGGGAGCGCACCGGCACTGGCACAGGCAGCAAGGCAGGGAGACGGCGCTGGCTGCGACGGCAGGCCATCGGACTCTGGCGGCGGGGAGTAGCGGCGGGGGTGAGGAAGGGTTACGGGAGCAGGGATTCAGCATTTTATACGTGTACTAGTGTACGTGGGCTGCTTTTGACCTGTAGAATGGGCTACAAATTTTAAACGGGCCGAAATATTTGGGCCGGTTCAATCTTTTCTCGGGTCAGGCCGAATTGGACGAATTTCACTGAAATTCGGTCAATTCGGGCCGAATCCCATATCCTTGTCCTCGACCTCCTCCTCATGATGCTGTTGCACCACTACCCTCCTCTGGATCGTCGTCACCGCCACCAGTCCCGGTAGTCTTTGATGAGGATGGTGTGACCATGGAAGGGGACTCCCTGCTGCACGTGGTTGCGGCATGCGGCGACACGCAGGAGTACCTCGACTGCGCCAAAATACTGGTCCGCAACAAGAAGCGCAAGGGCGGTGCAGATGCAGCGCGCCTAGCCCTGGAAGCGCGCAACCGCAAGGGCGACACGCCCCTGCACTGCGCCGCCGGTGCTGGGAACGCCAGCATGATCTCTTGCCTCGTTGATCTCATCGCCAACGACACCACCGACGACGAGGCGGGGGCACCGGTGAAGAAGGCGTTCCTGAGGATGCAGAACGAGTGTGGAGAGACCGCGTTGCACCAGGCCATCCGCGCCGCTGCCGACAACAAGCTTAAGGTGGCCTGCATCGACCAGCTGATGGACGTGGATTCGGAGCTGGCCTGCATCCCATTCCCACGTCAGGAGGAAGATGCTGGTGCTTCCCCGTTGTACTTGGCTATCTCACTGGGTGAAGTCGAGATTGCGCGGCACCTGTATAGCAAGACTAAAGGCGGCAAGCTGTCCTATTCCGGACCACATGGCCGTAACGTCTTGCATGCAGCGGTTCATCGTGGCCAAGGTAAAGCTAATTAAACTAAGCTAGCAGGTTAGTTGCTACTCGTAAATACATGCGGTTTAATCTTCCTCTCTCTTGGCTGCAGCGCTGCCTATGATTTTGGAATGGCTCATCAAGGACATGAAGCCTAAAGAAGACAGTAGTACTGTGTCTCTTGTGTCGCGACTGACTAGCGAAAGGGACAAGAAGCAGAAGGAAGCACCCTCTTCACTTGGCCGCGTCCTTGTCCGGGTGGCCAGGCGCGGGGTTTCTTTGCACACGGTTTCCCCAAGTTTGGCCGACGGCGGAATCAGTGGCTACACTGCTACTGGATGCTAACATATCCATGGCATATCAGGCGGACGACGAAGGATCCTACCCCATACACGTCGCTGCATGGTCTAACAGCATCGTTATCGTGATCCTGCTGGGGAGGTGTCCGGACTGCGCCACCCTGCGAGATGGCAAAGGACGGACGTTCCTCCATGTCGCCGCCGAGGAGGGATGCCACGATGTGGTTCGATATGTCTGTGGAAAAATGCCACAGCGATTTTCATCGATGATTCTGAATGCGCAGGACAACAACGGGGACACTGCGCTGCACGGCGCTGTCCGTTATGGGAACCTTGCCGTCTTCAACTGTTTACTTCGGAATCCACGGGTACGCTTGGACGTGACAAATAAAGACGGGATGACACCACTGGATCTTTCATGGAGTATGACCCCTTCAGCAATTCTTTATTACGTGCTTGTAAGTAAATATCCGATCCTTTTCTCGGTTCGAAGCAGCTAGCTCGTTTATTTCCTCAAATTCTCTTCTCTCTCTCTCTCTCTAGTTATTTATTTATAGTTATTTTTAGTCATTTTTGTTCGATTTAATTAGGCTTAGGACACCTACCTTAAATCAAACAAGTTATAAAGACCGTTATAAATGCTAGTATAATAAAAAAATTATTAATCATAGGAAAATTAAAACTCGCCTTAAATGGGTGACTATTGTATTGTATACAACCGTTGTCAGTTTAAAAAGGGCGAAAGGCAACAAGCCACGCAACTACGCATGCATTGCTCACGAGCTCATGTGACCAGACTATATGAGTGATGCGGTGCTAGTTAAGGTTTTGCAGCTCTAAATCCCGATAGTGAGTCTCTGTTTTTTTTATCCTTAAAAGCGAGAAGGGGGAGAATAAGGGATGGATAGACAACCGAGAGAGTGACTGACGGAAAGAAAAAGAAATTTATCGTATTTAATATTACGCAAATAGGCCCACGGGTGGCAACGGGACATACAGTTTGTTGCACGGTGTTCGTATCAATGAGAGCTAGCTATTTTTGTTGGATTAAATTGGAACTTGGCACAATCTTAAATCAAATAAATTCCAAAGCACATAGTAAATGCTGATGTAATAAAGGATCACTCGCAACCGTCCAACAGGGATCCGACGGACCTAGTATCTCTTATGTCATTATGAGTTAGAGCAGTGTGTCCAAACACGATATTGAGTCCAGTTCCAAAACAAATTGAAGTGTGGAGCATTTACTATATCCATACAAGTTAGAGCAGCATGTGTCCGCCTCTCTCACATGCCCTCCTTACAAGTTACACAGCAGAATTTTCAGGCATGGTGTGGAGTCTGATCATAAAACACATTAGAACGCATGACACTATTATTTATAAATCTCTAACCCTCTCATACCCGTACCAGTTAGAGCAGTCATAGTACGGAATTTGATTCCGAGACAGATTAAAAGACGCTATCCTTGAATAAATCTTTTAGCCACAAATCATTCATGTGATCACGCAACAAGCTGCACGTACTGTTGCAACACTGAACATGTTTGCTAGTTAATTTAGTGACAGTAAGGTATATTCATTCAATAATACTCACGTACTCTTGCAGAATCCAAGAAGTGTTGTACGGCTTTCATTGCTCTTTGCAGGAGCTCCTCATGGTGGAGGCCGGCCGGAGCTCTTCTGTGAACAACACATCACCAAAGGAGACGAGGACAAAGAGTCACAGAAACATACAGATGCAACGCAAGTGATGAGCATTGTCGCCGTACTTATTGCGACCGTCACATTTGCATCAGCTTTCACGTTGCCTGGTGGTTATCGATCCGTCGGGGACTCATCTAGCAATAATCACGCTGGGACGCCGGTGCTTGCTGGGAGCTATGTTTTCGACGCCTTTATCCTTGCCGACACCTTGGCATTCGTCTGCTCCACCTTGGCTACCTTTAGCCTTGTCTATGCCGGGGTGCCGGCCATGGCCATCTCCATCCGCAACTACTACTTCAACATTTCGGCCGTGTTGCTGCAGAGTGCAGGAAGGAGTTTCGTGGCCGCTTTCGCCTTGGCCTTGTACCCGGTGCTGGCTCCAGTTGATCATACAATTGCAGTGACTGTCTGCGTCATCATTTTTGCATCTTTGCTCTGGGGAAACGTGGAAGCTTGGCGGATCACCTGTGGGGCAAACACGGTCCGTGCTCGAATTGGGATACGGCGATTTCCAGTACGGGCTTACGTACGACAAATATTGTTTTATGTCTTGGTACACTTTTGGTCGTACATAATAATCCTTGGTCTCCCAGCAATTCGGAAGTGGGCAAGTAAATAATAGGGCATGTGTCAAGATGGGAGCTAGCTAGCTAGCATTATTATTATCATGTCAAAACAATTGTCCACCTATGTAACTAATGCTCCATTATTACATTTGGGTTTTATTCTGCTAGCTGCTCAACATCATGTTGTAATAACCGGTATTATTGCTACTCAACAACTCTTTTTATTTCATTGTTAATATCATATTTTTATTGGAAAAAAAGTTCGATGCTTCGAAAAGTTCTATGCGGCTTTAATTTGGGCATGTTGGGATACAAAGTATTTTTGGAGTTTTAGAAACATATGCCATGGTTTTGTGAAATACTTTGGTTTTTTAGTACCATGAAGTGTTTGCATGGAATTATGGTTTTGACACTACAACATTCAAATAGGACCTTGATTTCCGGCACATTAGTTTTAGATACACAAAGCGCATTGATTTCCTTATCCTATCCATTTCCAAACCGGGGCATAATAACAGGATTTAATTTGAGACTTGACACGAGATGACGAGACACGTGTTTAAATTTGAGTAAAAATCATGAGCAGTACCTATACTTGTAGGGCCTTAGGCCTTTCGCAGTGTTGGCTTAGAGTGAAGCTTGAAGAGGTGAGAGAGTATATGAGCATCACTTCCAACACTGCAGGTCAGTGATGCTGGTGTCAAATTATTGGGAGCCGCGCAACTATAAGAACCAATGCCAAAAAGGAATAGGCCCAAATAAAGCAAGGTGAGCAGCGGAAGCGTGTGATAGGGTATTTGAATTAATTTTTTATTGGTTGATGGGACCCCATGAAACAGTAAATAAGTGAATTAAGTGAGGTTCTACACTGTAGCCTAGTAACACCGATGACAATTCCTCGTTCGTGGGGCCCATATTTTTTCTAGCCTCACACTGCATGGTTTGATCCATAATTATCTTATGTAAACAAAGTGTTGGCCTTTGTTTACCGTCTACACGTTTGAAGTGTATATATATGGTTTGATCCAGCCATGCTTTAATTTGTACATATAATGAGTTTTAGCCTTTTCTTGCTTGTTACACCCCACCCCCCACCCCTCTCCTCTTTTTCAACTTTGTTTTAAAGTGTAATAGCATGTGTGATGGGTACATTATAGATGTACCTGGGGTCCTTTTAAATTTTTTCCCTTGCATGCCATCTTTGCTTGTTGCCTGAGGAAAAGATGGCGAGATGGATCAGAGCTGGCTGGAACTGTCGCGCTCACTCGCATCGCATATCGCAGACCCAAATCCGGACAGGGTCTATTCTCTCCGCACGTGCACCTTTAAACTTGCTTGAATTTCTCTATGTGGTCTTGTTTAGATTGGAGCTAGGAATCAGTATTTGGTACTGTAGTACTTTCGTTTGTATTTGATAATTATTGTCCAATCATGACCTAACTAGGTTCAAAAGATTCGTCTCGTAATTTACAATTAAACTGTGTAATTAGTTATTTTTTATCTACATTTAATACTACATGCATGTGTCTAAAGATTTGATGTGATGGAGAGAGAGAAAAAACTTACAATCTAAACTAGGCCTCTGTTGCCATGCATGTGCATGCACGCACGCAACGCGTATGTAGCCCTTTGCGTGCTGCTGGCCGCCCAGGAATATTGCATGCATGCATGCATCCAATATCCATGCATGCATGGAAGACGATCGACTTTGATTCTCTCTCTCTATATATATATATATATATATATATATATATATATATATATATATATATATACATATATATATATATTCACTCTATATATATATATGAAAAGAGAATATATTAATATTCTAGCTTCTGCATCGACTAATGCATATGGCTGTTTATTATTATAAGCGAGCAAAAAAAAAGTCTAAGGAATCTCAAACACGAAGTTTTGAACCATGAATACAACAGAAATCTGAAAAGGGAAGACTAAAGAGCAATTCTGTTGCTAAAACGCCAGCCGTGTCTAGCAAACACCTCCATCGCGGCCGTCTCAATAATCCTACAGCCCGCCTTCATGAAATGGCGATCCTCCTCCTTCTAAAGTAATGTCTAGTACCTGGTCCAATACATTCCCTTGAAGATAACCTACAAATAAGACGGTGCTATGACTTTGTCAAACACAACATCATTTTGAGTTAACCAAAGAGCCAAGCAAATGGCACTTGCACCCACTAGAATTTGAGACTTCCTTTTCCTATTTAACCCTTCCAACTAACCTGTAAACAAATTGTGTACACTAGTTGGGGGTTTCAGGTTAAAGGAAATAAGAACAATTCTCCACATAAATTTAGCATAATGACAGTCAAAGAGTAAATGTTGTATGGTCTCATTAGTGGAACAGAAACAACACTTCCTATCTCCTTGCCACTGTTGCCTAGCTAAATTATCCTTAGTCAAGATTACGCCTTTGTATAAACACCACATAAAGACTTTAATCTTGAGAGGTAGTTTAAGTTTTCAAATTAAAGTGTTGTAAGGTAAAGCCTGTACACCGAATAATGCTCTGTACATGGAATTAACTGAAAACAACCCTTTCTGATGCAGCCTCCACACAAAGCGATCCCTTTGGTTTGTTAAGTGTACATCTGCAACCATGGCCACTACATTGTGCCATGCTTGCAAATTAACCCCATCGGAGATCTCCGAAAGCTACATTTAACGTAAGTGAATAGTACCGTCCCTAACAGATGCACTTTTCTTTCTCACAATGTTATATAGTGACAGAAGAGCGTCTTGAAAGGGTGTGGCGTTATCCACGAATCCTCCCAAAAACACACTTGGGATCCATCACCTAGATCAAACCTACCCATCAACAGAACTCACCCTTGACCTTCATAAGGCCAGCCCAAAACCGAGTCCCCGGACATGTATTGAACACGAGTGGAAGTCTTGTCCCTTAAATACTTATTTTAAGCAACTTTTACCAAACACCATCACCATTTATCGGTTTGAAAAGCCACTTGCTTAAGAGGCATTTATTATGGACACCTAGATTTAGGACACCCAATCCTCCTTGGTCTTTTGGTGTACATACTACTTCCCATTTTGTCAATCTATATTTCTTCTTATGTTCATCGCTTTGCCAAAAGAACCGAGATCTAAAATAATCTATTTTTTTTCAAAATTCCTCTAGGTATTTCAAAGAAAGACATCATGAACATAGGAAGACTACTCAGAACCGAGTTAATGAGGACAAGCCTTCCACCCACCGAAAGCATCTTACTCCTCCAACCACTCAGTCTCTTTTGAAATCTTTCTTCCACATGTTTTCAGTCCTTATTCATTAGTTTTCGATGATGCATAGGAATTCCTAGATATCTAAAAGGGAATGATCCTACATTACACCTGAAAATTTGTGTATAGTCCAATTGATTAACATTAGCTGCTCCATAACAAAATAATTCGCTCTTATGAAAATTGATTTTTAGTCCCCATAATTGCTCAAAGGCACAAAGCAAGAGCTTCATGTTTTTGGCCCTCTCTAAATCATTATCCAAAAAGATAACAGTGTCATCCGCATACTGAAGGACTGAGAGTCCTTCATCGACCAAATGCGGAACCACTCCACGGATTTGTTCGGCCTCTTTTGCTCGTGAAATGAGTATAGCCAGCATGTCAACCACTATGTTAAACAAGATTGGAGATAACGGGTCCCCTTGCCGCACTCCTTTTCTTGTTTGGAAATAATGGCCTAAATTATCATTGACCTTTACTGCAACACTCCCTCTAGACATGACTTTTGAAATCCATTCACACTAAACCGGTGAGAATCCTTTCATTCTGAGGACTTGTTGTATAAAAGGCCACTTAAGATTATCATTTGCTTTTTCGAAATCTAGCTTTAGAATCACTCCATCTTTCTTTTTCCTATGCAGCTCGTGTATTGTTTCATGTAGTATTACAACACCTTCCATTATAAATCTTCCCGGAATAAACACCGTCTGAGACGGACCTATCAATTTATCTGCCACTTTCAAAATTATATTATTTAACACCTTCGTAAAAACCTTGAACGACACGTTTAAGAGACAAATAGGTCTGTACTGTTGTATCCTAGCCGCATCCATGGTCTTGGGTAATAGTGTAATTACCCCAAGATTTAAACTATGAATATACAGTCTCCCATATAAAATTCATAAAAGAGACTCATCAAATCTTGCTTGACAACATCCCAAAAGAATTGATAAAATTCTACAGGAAAGCCATCCGGACCTGGTGCCTTATTATGTTCCATATCAAAGATTGCCATTTTGACCTCTTCCTCACTGAATGGAGCCACCAATACTTCATTCTCCTCCTCCGACACTTGAGGTATATCATGCCTCAAAGTCTCGTCCAATGAGAAAGAATTCTGTAAATGAGGTCCAAACAATCTTTTGTAGTAATCGGTTATATAATCTTTCAAATTCGCACCCCAACAATAATTCCTTCTTCGTGTTCTAGTTGTGTGATTTTTGTTTTTCTATGTCTCTCATTTGCTATCATATGAAAATACTTAGTATTATCATCTCCCTGCAACAACTTTGTTGCTTTTGATCGTTGGAGCCAATAAATCTCCTCCTCTCTTAGCAACTTAGTTAATTGCCTTTAAGATGGTATCTAAGCTCTATCTCCTGAGATGATAGCAAATCTGTTTCTGCCTTTCTATCGAGGATATCTATTTTATCCATCAGGTCTAGCTTATGTTTCTTGTTTTGGGAGACTAAATTTCTAGCCCAACCTCTTAGAAAACGTCGCAACCTCCTTATCTTAGACTGCCACCGTTCCAAGGGTGTTCTACCCCTATTCGCAGACTCCCACACCTCTTTTACCAAATCAAAAAAACCATCCCTTGTCAACCACCCTAGCTCAAATTTAAAATTCCTAGTGTTGCCTCTGTGAGATGGTTCCCTTACATCAAGTAAGAGTGGTGTGTGATCAGTGATTTCTCAAGTGAGAGCCTGGACGGTCGCCAATGGAAATTTTTGTTCCCATTCGGTTGTCACCAAAATACGATCTAATTTCTCATAGGTTGGAATTTCAGCATAATTAGCATATATATATATATATATATATATTATGGTGAGTTTTCTATACTTCCAGGAGTAGTTACCCCACCGAGAGTATATGCATCAAGTAGGAGTCGGGGCTGGTTGACGGGCGGAGAAATGCAGACCCATTTTGGACCGGGGCGGTGGCTATACGGCAGCTGTATTAATCTGGACGTATATACGCGAATTTAAAAAGGCCTGTGTCCATATAATTACCGGAAAAAACGGATCTGGGCTATGGTGGGATGCTTATAAAAAAAGTATGAATATGTACTCCTTTCATTAAAAAAAAGTATATATATATACTCCTTATAAAAAAAAGTATGAATATACACTCCTTTCATGAAAAAAAGTATGCATATATACTCTATTTAAAAAAAGTATGAATATGTACGAATACATACTTGAAAATAAAGTATGAATACATACTTTATTATGCGTAAGCCCGCACATACCTACTTTAGTATATGTATATATACATACTCTAAAAGGTTACGTATCTGAGCATACTCACCAGCGGCATCTGGAACATGCAGAGCCACGTGCCATATTTATATTTGAATTTTTTTAATAGCAAGGCCACACCGGCCGGCATGCATGCAACAGCAACACTACTACTACTACTACCCACGGCAACAGTTATTGGCACCGGCAGTAGGTAGAGATATATATGGGCTTGGTAGCAGCTAATGACGAAACCGACCAAGCTGATGTGGCTGCAACCTGCAAGTGATAGTACGAGCTGGCCACCAGCGGCGGCCAATAAACTACTGCTGGATCCCCGGCTGCTGGTGGCTGCTCGCCGCGGTGACAGCAAGCGGCTCAAGGAGCTGCTGCGGCTGGTGGTGAACGACGGCGACGGCGACGCTGAGGAAAATGCATCGGAGGCGGCGGCGACATCAGAGGTGGTCATCGTGGAGGTCGTCTCTGGGCGTCCTCCACCAGCTGCTGCGGCACCACCACCGTCAGCGTCCGGCGACAGCGACGACTTGATCCTCTGCTGCGCCAGGATGATCGTCGCCGCGATGCGCCAGCTGCTCCTGGAAGCGGGCAACCACGAGGGCCACATGCCCTTGCACTGCGCCGCCGCTGCCGGGAACGCCAACATGATCTCCTGCCTCGTCGATCTCATCGCCAACACCGACGATGAGGCAACGGCGGCGGCGTCTGTGAAGCCGGCGTTGGTGGTGAGAATGATGAATAAGCGTGTGGGAGACCGCCTTGCACCAGGCGGTCCGCGCACCCAAGAACAAGGTGGCATGCGTCGACCTGCTCATGGACATTACTAGTATAGAAACGATTTTGGATCCACTTCGAAATTTGGCTTTAGTCCTGGTATTTTTCGCGTTGAACTAGAGAGACCTTTAGTCCCGGTTTGAAGCTCCAACCGGGACTAAAGGTCCCCGCCTAACGGCTATCTGCGGCGAGCTTTTTTGCTGCAGGAGACCTTTAGTCTTGGTTGTAGCTACCAACCGGGACTAAAGGTTAACTTTACTTCGGTTGGTTCCTCCAACCGAAGTAAAAATCCACTCCAGTGGAAGCTCCGTCCGGGACTAGAAAGGGACCTTTAGTCCTGGTTAGTGTCTCCAACCAGTACTAAAGGTCCCCTCCTATATACTCCTTCTTTCTCCTCGAGTCCGAGCCACTTTGACCTCAGTGTTCTTGCTTCATCGCCGGCCTCTCTTCTTCCTCATCGCCGGTAATCACAAGATATACACAGGACGGGAATATAGAGCCCGGACGTGATAAGCGCCCAATTAAGTGTCGTGCGCATCTGTTTAGAGGCACTTCGACGTATTTGCTATGATGTGCCTGATTTCTTGCACTTCAAGGCACTTGCTTTGAATCTTGGTGATATCCCGTCCCACAAGCAAGCGAATGGTTTATGAGCTACAACCATGCAGAGATGTGGTAAAGTGGTCACTTATACTTGAGTTGTGGTTATTTGTTGTTTATTATTGTAATAACATTCTCTAATTTTTTCTTTTTCTCCACATGTAGATTACGCTCCGGGACCTTACCTACGCTGCATGTGGCTTGTGGGCCGTTTCTAGACCAAGCTACGAACAACTCGAGTGCGATTGGGACTTCGCAATAGAAACCTCGACCAGCTCACTATAGAAGGATGTCGATCTTGCATAAGGATTACTAACGAGGCGTGGTGGTTCGTTCAAGAGGTTACATCTATGGCCGACCATTCTTTTGGTATTGTGAGGCACGAGAGAGTGCACTCATACGGGCATTGGACTTCATCGATACAAGCGGATACATAATCCGTGACATCAATTACCATATATGGCTACTGAGGCATGTTAATGTGCGTGGCCCGATCGATCCAGGCGATGATTTCTATAGTAATTAATGTTTATTTAGCTAGTTGTTTATTTGGATTCTAATTTTAATATATACGGCTTTGTGTGTTTAATTATTGTCATACATGTAATTCGTAAATATTTGTTGGGCAACTAGAAATATACATTCCGATGTTATATTGGTCTCAAAATTATTCTCGAGACTTGCACGTGCCACGTGTGAAGGAAACACCAAGTTTGGGATTTTTCGGAGATGGTTTGCTACTTTATAAGGTTTAATTGAATTTCTGCGCAACGACACCGTTTAATCATAGGTTGAACTGAGTCTACCCATGAAAAGATCCGAAATGGTGCTAAACTTTTACACAGGCTCTAATGTGCGCTAGGGATAAGAATTTTGTGGAGGTGGACGAAAAAAAATCTATTGGGTCCAAGATGAAATTCGCCCTCGTTTGTCTCATTCGGCACAGAGAAAAATATAATAAATAAAAAAATGAAAAAAAAACCTTAGATCCTGTGTGGGGTCTTAATTTGGGTGTATATTCTTGTTAAAAAAATTCAAGCCATTTCGACATAGACGGAGTATACATGCTTCATAGAGGTACACGTGCCCTTTCATCGAACCATGACTATACACATAGGCTATCAAGGTTTCTATGGTTCATAGGTATTCCAGTGTTGTATTCATCTCAAACTTTTTCTTAGGCTTGCACGTGTCATGTGTGAAGGAAACATCAAGTTTGGGATTTTTCGGAGATGGTTTGCTACTTTCTGAGGTTTAATTGAATTTCCGTGCGACGACACCGATTTATTATAGGTTGAACTGAGTCTACCCACGAAAAGATCTGGAATGGTGCCAAATTTTTACACAGTCTCTAATGTGCCCTAGGGATAATAATTTTGTGGAGGTGGATGAAAAAAATCTATTGGGTCCAAGATGAAATTCACCCTCTTTTGTCTCATTCAAAGACACGAAAAAATATAATAAATAAAAAAAAACTGATTAGAAAAACCTAAGATTACGTGTGGGGGTCTTAATTTGGGTGTACAAGCTTGCCAAAAAATTTCAAACCATTTCGACATAAGAATACATATGCTTGTATTTATTCAGTATATAAAAGAAATTTTTTAATATATATAAACATCACTGTCGGTTTCAAAAAATCAGCATTAATGAGAAAAAACTGACAGTGATACTGGTTATCACTATCGGTTTATTTTTAAAAACCGACAGTGATATATAAAAAATTAAAAAAAATTATGCCAGCCCTCGGGTTCGAGCTACAGAGTTCAGAGACTTAACCGCTGCGCTAGTATAGGATGTGGGCCAAGGGTTATTTACTTTTTCCTTTTGACCTTTAGGCTGCTTAAAAAATTATAAAATAGAACAAAAAAATTTAGGCCGCTTGGGACTCGAACACGGGTCTCGAGGGCTAAGTTGAGGGGTCTTAACCATTGTGCCAGTAGGAGGAGTTCGAAAGAAAATAAAAACTTATCCTACTTAACACCTAAGTTAACACCTAACTGCTACACAACATCACTGTCGGTTTGGGGAATGACCTGGTAGTGATGTACCCCATCACTGTCGGTTTGCAAGCAAAACCGATAGTGATGAGCTATTTCCCGAAATAAATTAATAATTTATAAAATAAAATAAAAAAATTTGGCCCGCCTGGGACTCGAACACGGGTCTCAGGGGCTAAGTTGAGGGGTCTTAACCATTGCGTCAGTAGGAGGAGTTAAAAAACGGAAACTTATCCTACTTAACACCTAACTTAACACTTAACTGCTACAGAACATCACTGCCGGTTTGGGGAGTGACCCGGTAGTGATGTGCCCCATCACTGTCGGTTTACAAGCAGAACCGACAGTGATGAGCTACTGCTATAAAAGTGGCGCGAGTTGAAATTATCCCAATTCATTTCAACCCCGCGCCAACCCTTCCCCCCGCGCCGCCGGAGCACCACCGGCACCGAAGCACCGCCCCACGCCGTCCACCTCACCATGCCGGAGCACTGCCCCACGCCGGAGCACCACCCCACGCCATCCACTGCCCCAAGCCGGAGCACCGCGCCGTCCGCGTATAAGCCGAGCATCGCGCCGTCCATCCCACCGCCGAGGCCTTGAGAGCACGCACGCGGACAATCGCTTTCCACCCCCACGATGGGTGCGTGGCTCACTTTCACTACGTGTCGATGAAATGTCCCACACCGCTTACTTGAATCGGTTTGATCATGTAGTGTGTCTTTGTCGTCTGCTTTGATCATGCAAATTGTGAATGCTAGAACCTAGGTTTCCCACATAGTGTGTGCTGTCTGTTTCTTTGTGTTTCTGGATGCATTGCTAGTAAGTAGTACATTGTTACTTAGTAGCACGTTGCTCAGCTCTATTCATTAGTATACTGATAAGAACAAAAGCGTAATTTTATTTTTGGTTACCACAATAAACATAGCAGGGACTCGTAATACTTGACAGAAATTGCTCTCTGAACGTTAATGGTAGTTTATTTTCGGACTACTTGCATTTTCTCTGTGAAACAAACTTACATTTTCTATGTGAAACCATCTTGTGCATCATTAGAGCTTGGCTGGATACATATGTGAAACCAATGGCTGGCCTCACCTCGTAGCTTGCAATTGCAACTGGGCTCCCATCAGGCGGATACTCAATGTTTTTGGAACTGTGCCACCAACGCTTAATGTTTTTGGATGTGAGGATGGAGTATATATACTTTAGACCTAAAGAACTAATATACGTCCAAACTTGTCATGGAATTCTCCATGCTATCAGCATAAAGATGCATAATTATTAACTTATGCAAGATTACAAGTAATACATAGTTATGTAGCCTTGTGCATTAAACTAGGAATATTTTCCAACAATCCTATCTTATTATGAGTTTTTGCATGTCACTTTCCTAGGATAGTATGAGATGCATATTTGCCCCTACCAACCATGTAAGTTTCAGATCAAAGTATCACTAATTTGGAAAGATGCTTACCTGCACTGATACTTGTGAAAGAACCTCGCGCCGATGGTTGGGGGATTTATAGTGAGACTGAAGACTCTGAGACATCTCTAGGTGTATATCCAAAAGTCTTAAATTGGCTCTCTAAATCATCATTTAGTTTTTAACGAATAAAAAATATTCTTTATATCTTTCCTACATCTAACAACTATTACTAAGGCACGTGAATAGCTGTTTTCCAAACACTCCTATCTATGCAATGGTTGTGTGTTATGCGTAAATATATTAAATTGTATAAGAATACATCATGTTTGAATGACAACATAATTTACTTTAATGTATAGGCAACCATGGCATGGTATGAAGTGCATGTTGGTCACATGCCTGTGATTTATCAAACCTGGGAAGATTGCTATGCTCAAGTCAATCGCTACCCTGGTAATTTGCATAAAAAATACAACACAGAAGCTGAAGCTTTGAGGGCCTACTATAGTCATCCGGCCTACCTTGCAAACCATGGGCAACCGGCCTACTATGGTCCAATGAATGCAAACTATGGCCATCCGCTGGCACTGGAGATCGAAGAGAAGCCACCCGCCGGAGATGTAAAGATTAGGAGAAATGCTCCTTGGTCTTGGAAAGATGTTATGCTTTTATTTATGGCTATGGTCATCGCTTTTCTTATTTGGAAGTTGATGTAGGCTTAGTTTCATAGAATAGTAGGTGGACTTTGTTGTATGTGGTCAATCAAACAATGAATTTGTTCTAGGTGAACATATGCTATTATTTGACTTTGTTGTACGTGGACTTATTATTAGACTTTGCATTAAACGTATTATATATATATGAACATATGCTATTAGTAGTTGTCCGCGGCCAAAACTAACCACGATCGTGTCACAGCCATGACTCATCGTCGCTTGTTACCCCGTCGCCGAAGAACAGATCGGCAA